ACAGAATAAGATTTATCCTCTTCAGCTAGTTGCCATTGCAGCTTGACACTAGCATCATACACGAATGAGATGGAGATGCTGTGGCTTGCGTTGAGACCTGGGCATTCCTCTGTTTGCAGGAAAGGACAGTGTACAATGAAAGCCAAGTTAGCACAGGCAGAGCAAACACTCAGATTATGCTAAGGCTGTCCCTCCTGGGAGCACATTAACCAAGTCCTGGCATGCTGGTTTTGTGCATATGTTGGGGGGGGGGTAAATCTTTGCAAAATAGTGTGATTTAACATTTTTAAAAAGTCTTTTCAATACAATTTGTCACCTGCAAAGGAAAACCAATACTGTTCCACATTCTGGCTGTTACAGTTCTTAGCATAGTTCTTAGACATTCTTCTAGATCTCATGGGTATTAACCTGTTAGCAAGTATAAAAATTCTATACCTTATTTTTCCTCTCATTTCATGGGTTACCTTTTCAATTCAGTTGATTGTGCCCTTGGAAACATATAAGGTTTTAATTTTAAGGAGCCAAGTCTGTCTGTTTTCCTCTGTCCCACTTGGTGTCACTTCCAGACATCATAGCCATATCCAACAAATCCCAAGGTTTTCTTCTAAACGACCTAGAATTTAGGTCTCACATTGAGGTCTTTGATTTATTTTGAGTTGATACCTGTGTATGTGTTAAAGACCCAACTTCATTCTATTGCATGTGGCTATCCATTTGTAGAGAAGACTACTAGATAGACTTAACACCCCGTCACAAATAATTTAACTACATACACAAAGATTTATTTCTGAACTTTTCTATTCCACTAGTGTTAAATTTTGAAAATGCATTGCTTTGTTTTCAAGATGTTTGTTTGTTTGCTTGTTTGTTTTGAACAACTTAAGTTCCCTTTAAGGGTGCTTGTACATTTTAGAATGGTTTGATTTTTTTATTTCCATAAAAAGTAATTATTGATAGGGAGTATACTAAATCTATAAATTACTGGGTATTAACATCTTGATAGTGTATCTCATATCTATGAATATGGGATATCTTTCTATGTATTTCTATTTTTTTACTTAATTTTTTTCTTGTAATAATAATTTCCAGTTTATACTCCACAAGTGTTAAGTGTTTTCCCCCCTTGGTTTCTTCATAACTATTTGCTTACTTCTATAGTTGCTATTGTAAATGAAATTGTTTTATTAATTTCTGTCCCGGCTTAAATATTAGTGTATAGAATAGAAACACGACTGATGTTCATGTATTTCTGAATCTTGAAACTATAATTTTATTACTTATTGCATTTTTCAGGCTGTTTGGCCTATTCTACCTATATAACCAAGTCCCTGCAAATGGATCCTTTCTTATTAATTTATGTTTTCATTCCCAGTCCTCCTCCCACTCTCCCCCCCCCCCCCGCCCGCCTCCTCTCTGCTTCACGGACAGTAGATCTCTACTCTCTCCACATTTCTCTTCTAATGGTGTCAAGGACATCACCAATCTTTCTGAGCATCCTCCCAGAATCTGATCATCCGGGAACTCTGTAGATAGCGGTGGTGAGTGCCCGCGATGGTCATATGGGACAATGGAAACATTTGGAAATTAATTTTTCTTAAAATGAGATGTTACTTTGAAAGGAGACCAGAGCTCCAACTTTCCCACAAGCGGTGTGAGGGAAAGCAGTGATTTAGAAATGCCAAAAAGAAAGTAGACGGTGGCGGCAAATGCCCCAGATGTCACGTGGAGCAATGGAAACATTTGGTAATAAGTTTTCCTTAAAGTGAGATATTACTGTGAAGAGAGGGCAGAGTTCTCAGCTTTTCATAACTGCAGCCCTGGAATCTGTTACTGCAAGAATAGACATATTTCAAGAAAAGTGAAATTAAGCCAAAGGCATGGTGATTTCCACGTCTCACTTTTGGTCCAAGAATGTGGAGAGTTTGTCTGCTTTGTTTCTTCTTCCGAATTTTCCAAAATAGGCCCTCAAGCCAAGACTAACTTATTAATTGTCCAGGATTAACTAACTCTCTTCATGTTTTATTTACATCAGGCATGTTTGAGAAATATAAATGTATTAAAATAATACTTAGTATGATAGGAAAATAAGATTTGTTACAATTCTGGATGCTCGAATTGTGTAGTAAATCCATGCAGGCTGTCTGCCTGCTCTTCTGCTAATCCCCCTTGAGTGAAACAGCTAGTGTGAGGTGTCTTTGCCCTCGAAAGGTCAGTTTCCATGTATAAACCCAGTGCTTAAGGATGTCAGGGAGGGACCTCCTAGGGATCTTCTTTGCAAACTATAAAGTGAGCATGGAAAAACATCAGAGGAAGCTCCAGGTAGCAAGAATGTGTTTTGCCAAACTTGTATTTCATTTTTGTATTTCTGCATTTCTGTAACAGTTGGGGGGGCTAAATGTGGAGGGAGATGGGGTATGGAGAAAAGAACTAGGTTCTAGCTTTGTTTCTTTAGTGTGATTCTACTTAAAACATGTCCATACCTACTACTTTCCACAGACCTCTTTCCTCGTCTAAATGTCTCCCCTTTGCTAACTGCCAACGTGTGTTTTTGCTGTAGGAAATGTTTCTGAAACAGCACCATGAGGTGGCAGGTACAAAAACCATAAAAGAACGATAATAACAGGCAGCAAGCTGTTTCTGTAATTTATGAAGAAACGTTAAAGCACTCTACATAGTAACTAACAATAGAGAGACTCTTTTGATGCCCATGTAAATAAGCAACCATATCAAGAAAAAATAAGGCTTTTGAACAGCAGCAGTACTGTGGTACACATATTTCACGGTTGGCAATTAAATAGATGTGGTAAGTCTCTACCCTCGCCACATGAGAAAACTTGCTGGCAGGATTCTATGGCAAGCCAGTGTGTTTGCATTGGCTAAGAGCCTCTAGGGCAGTGGCTCTCAACCTGTGGGTGAAAAGCCTTTGGGTTGAATGACCTTTTCATGGGGGTCACATATCAGATATCCTGCATACCAGATATCTACGTCACGACTCATCACAGAAATAAAAAATAGCAATGAAATAATGTTATACTTGGGGCTCACCATAATATGAGGAACTGTATAAAAGGCTCGCAGCATTAGGAAGGTTGAGAACATGGTTCTGGGGCCTCTGTACACCTCATTCTGGTGTTCTGTTTTAGAAACAGCCGTTTGAACTGCCCTCACTGATCAACCCTACTCTGGATATTTGAGTGTTAGCCTCTTCTAGAACATTTACTGACAAAGTCCTTGTGAACAGTTTCCTCTGAGAGTTAGTGGGTTAGTTGTTCGTTTGCTTTACTTATTTGTAAACTGTTTCTAAATTCCTGTGCCACATGAGAACGTTCTTAGATACTAGGAGGTGTTAAGGGCAAGGTAAGGAAGGTAACCGTCTGAATGACCTGACATGGAGTGCGTGGGTGTTGGTTTCATGACTCCAACTCTTGACCGTGTAGTCTTCTGCCCCCTTTCCACTGTTAATTAGCAGGAGGACGGACAGGCCAAGGTTGCCATCCTCTCTTATTTCCAGGTCCTCTTCCCTTCCATCCCTACAAAGGTAGGAGGTAGGTGGTGCTGGGGTGGAGCTAACAATGTGGGTGGAGCTAGTGAAGTGGGCGGAGCTGCTCTGCAGCCCTGCTCACCTGGTTGGCCTGAGAGGAGTACAGAATTTGCTTTCTACGCTCCATCTCAGCTTCCTTCGCTCTCCTTGACACCAAGAGATGCTGTGATTGTGGCGAGCTGAGAGACAAAGTTTTCATTAGTATTGTGACTCTGTTGTTCTGTGGGAGAGCAAAGGTAGGACCTTGCGGGTTTGTCTACAGCTCCTCTTGTTACAGCCTCCCAAAGCAGGGGTTACTGAGTCCTGTGGTAGGCACTCCAGGCTCAACCATGCTTTGTTGAGCACATGGGCAGTCAGCAAACCTGTGAGCAAGTCTTGAGAGCTACAATAGAATGAGAAAACCATACAGATAGTGTGCATCATCCGTGCTGGGCAGTAGTGTTAGAGGAGAGTGTTATTTTCTTTGAATTTTATTTTTTGAGTCAAGACTCTGATGAGACACAAGTTACATCAACCCTGTCAGACAGAATAATTTGCCTATTTATAATTCTCCTGTTAGGTATATTTATTCCAAAAGTTTATTGTGATGATAAAATACAATTATGGGATATTAGAAGAAATTATTATTCTTTGGAAAAAGTTATACTACACATATAAAGTGGTTATCAAGTTGCCAATAAAAGCTCTAGGAACTGATTATATATTCCCTGTATACTTTCTAAGTGGGATTTTTTTTTCTTCTTAGCATAAATGATGGCAACCAGAAAGCATAGTGGTTCCTGAATTTCATATATTAAAAATCCAGTATTTTCATAAATAACAAAACTATCCCCATGCCCCCCCCCAAGCTCATCAGTACCAGTGGACGTCATTAGGACAGAGGCATTGGCAGCAGATGGACTGCCCATGACTTGAAGCCTTATAAAGAAGCTATGGATCCTCTTGGCTTAGTGCTTCCCTCTGTAGGGAACTATTTGGTGACTGATTGTGTCACAGCATCAGCTCAGCTCACTTCCTTTGTTGAGAAAACTTGAATCTGGTGGGCAGTCTGAACACATGCAAAAAGACAGTGACTTACCATCTGAAGTAAGATTTCTGCTTGTTGCTTTTCTGAACTTACTCTAGACTATATTTTCTGGTATTTAGACAGGAAGTACAGAGACTCTTCATGAGTTGTGGCATAAATTTCCCCTACTTCATATGTTTAAGAACCTTATACCTTATTTTTGTGATACTTGGGTGTGATACTTAAGTAACTTATGGATTGCCTTTTGTCTAGAAGGTCACTGAAGACTGCACATGGGATAAATGATGGACAGTACAGGCAACTGACTTCCGGCTCTCCTGGGGTGCCTTATACTTCCCACATTTCCTGTTACTGCCTCTCTTTGAAATGAGACTCCTTCCCTTACAGCCTGGAGATCGTACCAATTGCTGACCTGTAAAATTCTCCTTTTAGGACCCGCCCACTTCAGTTTCCCTTGGTCTGCGGATGGAAGAGATGATCTTCAACTTGGCAGACACACATCTGTTTTTCAATGACCTAGAAGTAAGTTCTGACTGTTTTACACATCCTTTGTGGAACATATCTGAATATAAGCGATTGCTTCTGAAATAATGATTGGGTATTGCTCTTCTCAACATACAATTGGGATGTTGAGACGAAGTGCTTGTAAGGCAATGTGTTTCCCCTTTGTGGTATTTATTTCATCTCAAAGTTGGACCCTACGATTACATTTTGGTGACAGGGATCCTAAGCATGGCCCTCAGAAGCTTTGTAAGTTATTATGCCTGTGCTGTCTCCACCCAACCCTTCCAGGGTCCTCTGTCCAATCTGATTGTTCGGAGCTGGTTTGCATGAAGGCTTTACTACCTGCGCTGCTAGGGACCTTTCATGTCTTAACTGTAGCTGGTTTTATTGGGGGAAACATCTCTAAGATGGCTGGCTGACTGCGAATGGGCGGCAGCAGGCATGATCGTAGTTTGCACTCCTAACAAAGAAGGATATTGTTTTCACCCATCTCCATTATGACAAAACATGACTATAACTCCACTGCCCTCCTCCCTCACAGAGACGGTTGTTTATTTAACTCTCACTGCTAAGCAAGCTTGTGGTAGGGCTGCCAACAGGCATTAATCATCAAGTTGTTGCTTTGCTAGGTTTTATAAATGTATGTTATTTCAGACAAGAGAAGAATCTCAAAGATTCAAATAGGACTTTTACTGATCAAAGTTAATTGGCAGCAATTGGCCTTTAAATATTTCCTGATGTTTCCCTTCTCAAAATCAAGCAAAATGCACCTTATTTAATAGAGGAGCCAAAATCACTTGAAAAATGCCAGTGTGTGACAGAACTTGAATGCGGTTTGTTCAACATCTGTCCTGTATTTTGATTTCTTTTCATCTGCAATGAAACAACTCACAGGCGAATTGGCAGCTTCCAGTGCAATAAAATGATTTAAATGCACTTGATTTTTTTTTTCTCTCATTTCTCGGAGATATAGTTATTTTTATATTTAGAAGTAAAATGCAATTTTTACTTTTTCATTTTTAAGTGTTTGCTTTCCTCAAGGAAATGACATGTAATGCATTATGATTTTTGTATGGGGGAAATTCTCTCTGAGTGACTTCAACATTACCTTTGTAAGACGCTTCATCATCAATACTTATTTCCAAAACTCGCTCTGACTTGTGGTTGTATTTCACTTTGCAAGAAGGCGACACAAAAATTCCATATTTTACTAGCCTGCTAAAATTCTTTACCCAGGTTTCCATTTGTCTCTAAAGACATAGACTAGGCAGATATCTTTGTTTAGTGCAGCCTTGTCCTCATTGCTGTTCATCAGACTTGACAAGGAATACTTGGCAACTGATTGAAAATGCTGACTTGTTGAAAGTGTCAAATGGTGTGGCGAAAAGGGAGAACTTAAGCAAAATGATAATTTATGATTTAATTTATTATGGTTCTTACGAAAGCTTCCAAACTCAGCTTTGATTTAATACAGTTTTTTATTTGTGCAATTTCCATTATTTCCACTGAAATACAAAGAGAGACAAGATACCTTAAAAGTACACACTAGAGATTATGCAAGGATGTGGGTCATGAAAAAGTTTTAAATGGTCTTTGAAGCAATTGAAATGGCAGAACCTATCCTTGCATGCCCGTTATTTCTTACTAAAAGTAGAGAGCAAAAGAGAATGAATATATGCTTCAACCACATATATAAAATAAGAATGGAAATATTTTTAGGCCCCAGATGCAAGTAGCTTTTACATTATTTTACTCAAGAACAACATGAATGTAACCACAAAAGTAGCCATGAAAGATTGATTCAGAAATCATTTTCCCTAGATTTGTGTAGCATCTCAAAATAAAGTGGTTCTTACGCTTTTGCAGCTTTAACTTTTTTAAGTCTTTTAATTCAACAAACCTTGTACTAGTCACTGCAAACACAAGTTGCTCTGACTACAAAAAGTAAAAAATATTCCATGGCCAACACGCTTAGGAAAAGCAAAATTATCTTCTCAGGCAGAAGTGATGGGCATTGCCTGATTTCACACACCCGTTACAGTGTGTATTGGCAAGCCATATAGACATTTCAGTACACTTAGACTACAGGATTGACAATCTCCTGTTGGGTATGGAGCATCGTCCCTGAACTCTGAGTGGTGACATTTGCCTTTACGACCTTCTAAAATCTTAGCTTTTTGACGCTACCTCTCTGCACATTCTATTTAGCTCATACTTGCTTAATGAGACAAAAGGTTTGGAGCTTCCAGTGACGTGTGTGGTAGTCTCAAAGTATGTGTATACAGTGACTATAAGGGGACGGTTTTAAAGACTGGGGGTACAACTTTTAAAGGAGTTCAGAAATATCATCATGAACTCTAAAAAGTCAAGTAGATAGCAGCCCTATTTAGTTGCTAAAATCTTGCCATCTCAGTGGCTTTTTTATTTAAAATATCAAAATTCACATTAATTCCATTGATGTATCAGGAAAGTAAGTTTAAAAGAAGAAGTGCTGTTTTTTGTGTCATTAAAATTGTCTGGTGTGTTGAGGAACAAGAATGATAGGGAGACATAACTGTCATGGGGTATTATATTTTCCCCAGTACAGACAGGCTGACATATTAGTTACAAAGCATACCTCTGACTCCATGCTTCCTACCCTGACAGACATCCCACATATCACTTTACAGAAAGCCCCTGCTTGCAAGCTTACAATCTAACGATGCTTATATGGAAGTCTTTTCTTTCTTCTTCTTCTTCTTTTTTTTTTTTTTTTTTTTTTTTTTTTTACAATGTATGACTTTCTAACTGAATAGAGAAAAGTGTTTTTTCTGTTGGATTTATACTCAAAAGCTGTCTGCAAACAGTGACAGTAGCAGTAACACTGGTTCTAAGCCACGTCCTGCAGGTTCCCCTGCTGGAACTTTCCACATTCAAAAGGAAATATGTGGTATGTGGTGCAGATGTTTATGTCTGAAAAGAAACAAGACATTCAGTTTGCCTTGAGCTAGCTCTTGTCACGGCGGCTGCTACACAAATGTGTGGACTCAATGTGGTGGCCCTCGGGAGTACGCAGAAACTGTCTTCATGTGTTACCCATGGAGGGACGAAAGCTGAGAGATCACTGAACCCCCATCCATGTCTGTGGACACAGCATATGAGGTCATTGCCCACGCTATTCACCTAGGCAAGTTCTCTAGTGCATTGTTTAGTCGGGTGTCCTGGTTAGAATTTTTGTCAACCTGCATGAGCCAGAGTTAAGAAGAAGGAACTTCATTTAGAAAATGCCTCCAGAAGATTGGCTCAAGAGCAAGACTGTGGAGCCTTTTTTTTTTTTTTGATTATGAGGGATATGGGAGATCCCAGCTCACTGGAGATGGTGCCACCTCTGGGCAGGTAGTCCTGGGTTGTATAACAAAGCAGGTAGAGAGCAGGCCAATAAGAAGCATTCCTCTGTGGTCTCTGCTTCAGTTTCTGCCTTGACTTCCTGCCATGATTCCCCTCAAAGATGAAGTGTGACCCAAGAGCTACAAGTTGTGAGAAATAAACCCTTCCTCCCTCCAAGTTCCTATTGGTCATGGTGTTTATAAAAGCAATAGAAACGTACCCAGGACAGATGTGACAGTCGAGTTGCGTTTCTGCTGTATTCATGCCTAGCACAAATACTTTGACCCTTGCCTAGGTCAGTTTGTCTAGAGTCGGTTTGCTGTTTTGTTTTATTTTTTTTAATACCTATACGTACAGCCCTTGCAGTCACTCCTTTCTGTATATAAAAGAAAGGATAGAGGCTCTGGTCTCACTAGGGTCTGGGTTTGATGAATCTAAGACCAGTATGAGGAACGTGGAGACAATGTCTGGTTATCTGGTTATCCCTAGAGGAGACCGTGGAGATTTGTCATGTGAAGAAATGTATGTGCACCTTGATTTAACTCACTCTTTAAATGTGGTATTAAGTTTTATTATTCTAAAACTCGGGTTAGGTAGCAATTATCTTAATATATCTTATTTAGATTTTTTTTTAACCTGGGAAAAATATTTTGCTTCAAACTGTCAATCAGGCCAGTGTTGAGTGATTTGCAGTGATGCGTGCTGTACTAGCCTGTGCCTGCAAAAGCGTAAAACACTGAATGCACAAGTCATTTTTTTTTTTTTTTTTGAGGTTAAGAAATACAATGCACCTAGAAAGTCCTTTTTTGCCCTGTAAATAGAGGCTCCAGTGCCCAGCAACCAGCCTTGTGGATGCGGGGAGCCTTGGCTTTCAGCAGCCAGAGAAAAGGGTTTCTTGACGAGGAAGGCGTGTAGAAAAGAGCCAAGCTGGTTTCTGTGTTTAGTCACTCCCATCAGCCCAAAGTAACCGCATGAAAATGTGTGGGCAGGTCAACTGACACAACCCAAACATAAATGTCCCATCGCATTACACGCAGACACATACATACAACTCATCATTGTCAGCTCTGTACATAGACATTGGGGTCTGCACATAAATGTAAGGGAGGGCATTATTTTAACCCTGGCAACATCCTTCATGATAGCTTTGTTCATGGTGATGATTAAAGTTTTGTTAGCTTGAATTCGTGTATGTTTTCACAGAATGAGGGACTGACTCATGCTTCTTTCCCCAGAGAGGTTAATTGGTCTAGCCCATGCCTCTAGTTAAGAGTAATAGAAACACTTTCAGTTTAGGGAAGGATATGCTTTGTAATCAACATATGATCATATTGAATTTGTTTTACCTGTTTTACAACTATTGGACAACAAGAAGCTTTCAAGTTACCCATTATTCTTATTAAAATATCATTGTTCTTCTTGTTTTTGTTTTGGATTTGAAAACAGGGTTTGTGTGTGTGTGTGTGTGTGTGCGTGTGTGTGTGTGTGTGTGTAGCCTTGGCTGTCCTGGTCCTGAAGACCAGGCTGGCCTCAAACTCACAAACTGCCTCTGCCTCCCGAGTGCTGGGATTAAAGGCATGCACTGCCACCACCAAGCATTATTTTATTGTTTTTACTTATTCATAATTTCTTGTAAGATTGTTGTCTTTATT